GTGGTAGGAGGGAGGAAAAGAAAGGAGAGAAGCCAGTAGCAGTATTTGGCACCCAGGGACCACACTGGACTGCTTTCTGGGGGGATTTTAGCTTGCTCTGAGGTGGAACTGGGGTGGTGCTGGGGTCAGTGCACTGCTGAGCTGCAATGAATCAGTGCTGCTGAGAGACTGGGCTTGCTGCTTTGTGGTGCACACCACGCTAAGGCAGCTACCCAGCTTTGGGTTGGGTGAGGACAAAGCCATCACAAGGCAAAAACTGTGCAGACATTCCCACAGTGTTAAATACTAAGGCCAGATCCTAATTTCCTTTTTTTTTTTTTTTTTTTTTCCCCCACTTTTTGTATCACTCTAGCAGAAAAAAGAAGTCCTAAAAGGGAAAGAAACATATTCTTCCTTTAGAGCACTATAAGAGCAGAAAGGGTCTGCTATGAAACAGAGATGCTGTCCCACTGGGGAGGCTCTTGGGTGGGATCCATCTGATAGGACTTCAGTTTCCTGGGCTCACTTTTTGACCAGTGGAAAGAAACAGCCAGTGTAAGGGCACAGTTCACCTGGCCTATTTTCATGCCTGTTTTAGGATAAGCTAAATCACTCCCTAGCAGTCCCCATCCCTCTGCAGAAGCTGTGAAGACACCCTAGGCAGACGACTGCCAGCTATTTACATGCCTAACAGTGCATGAAAATACTCTCATTCCTTTTCATGTGGTCAATTACAGGATCAGCCTTGGACTCAATCATAGCCTTCTAAGCCATGTGAGGCATAGAAGTTTGCAAAAAGTTTATCTGCTTATAGTACTGTTGATCACAAGTCAGCTACCCAAAATCATGAAAATGGTGTAAAGCTTACGTGATTAAATACAATACTGCTGTCTTCTTTCTTCTACTTTTTACTCAGCCTTTGGAATTTTCAGGTATATTTTTGTCGTGCTTTCCACTCTTACCCTTCATCTCAAGACCTAGATGAAAGGATATTTTAAAATGAGGGCAAGGAATCTTGTAATTGTTTGACTCTGGGAGCTGGGTATAAACCCAGCAGCCATGTCAGTGCCACATATATTCCAACGCAAAATAATTCTCCACAAATAAGATCTGTTAGGACACTGTAGTATTTTGCTATGAGTCAGACATGGGAGTATACTTCAGTTTTACAATTGACGTATTACTAGCTATTATGGTATTGCAGTAAGATCTGTTTGCTAAGGTTGAACCCAAGACATGAGGTGTAGTAGGCTGACTGCAATCTCAGTCAGACCTAGTGTTGCAAATACCTCAAGGACAAAAACAGATGCTCCCATTTCCCACAGGTTTGAAGGTGTTTGTCCTACTGTTTGGATGGCAAACGTCTTCTTTAGGCGGTGTTCTCCATTTAGATGAGTGCCAAAATGCTGTAAAGGCTGATGGCACACAGAATTTGTTTCACCTGGCATCATGGGTGAGCAACTTACTGTGAAAGCACGAAAAAGCTCTTAGACCTTGCACTACTGTTTAGACAAGAGTTTAATCAGGAAATGCAGAAACTTGTATTGAGTAGAGACCTCAGGGCAACAGGTGAGGTCGCAAGAGGTGAAGTGTCCCTTTGGCTGAAGGATGAATGCTCTGACAGCCTGACGAATGCTGACAACCTCTGCACAGCTTATACAGCCTGTCCCTACTGATACAGCAGATCCAGAGATCTACCGGTCTGAGACTGTAAGCTCCATGCTGAATGTAGTTCTTACCCGTCTTCTCTGTTGTGCGTTTATCACTGCACTGAGCAGAAATTCCAATGGCAATCAAACTTTTATCATCCACTCTCCACATCCCACTGTTCAAAGAGCTCGCTGCTACCCTGATCAAACCAGTTTTTCAAGTCCGGACCTGAACGTATGACTGGTTATACAGTGAATCATCTGATATGGGGCTTTGGTCACAGCCTGACCATGGAGAGGCACCTCACAAGGGGAAATGGAGGTTGTAAAAAAAGAAGAAAAAGACTCAAAGTGAGGAAAGGCTCAGAGGAGAAGGAAGATAAAAGCATTATAAAACCAATGGTAGCTGCTTGGGAAGTGTCAAAGGGGAGATGCTTTACTCCAGGTTCATTACAAGCGTACCGGCATTTTTTTCTGGCAAAATATGCCTCTTCCTCACCAGTCTCTTGTGTGATGCAGCGGGCAAAGTCAGCATGTCATCACAGCTCCCCTGTTGTTGTGGGGAGCTGTGTGCTCTGCGTCAGAGGCTCCCACCCTGCGCTGCACCCAGGCTGTGCACTGATAATCCTCTTCTAATCTGTAAGGAGGAGCTGTAAGTGAATGGGGTTTTACAACTTCTTACTGGGAAAAGCTTTTGAGCAGTTTGTGGCACAAGCTTTGTTGCTGGTAGGGCGTAGCTGATCATCTAAACAGTTAGTGGAGGGGTTATGGGAGCAATTTCACATGCAGCCAAATAGCGGCAAAATTTCTCATGCCATCGCTGTCATTCATAAGCTTCTGCAATTATCTGCATGACCTTAATACTTGTAGGTACAACTGCAAACGTAATCTGTGCCATAATTGTGGCTTTCCTTTTCTCCAAGACATATAAAAAAGCACTCTATAGCCAGGAAATAAGAAATCACCAACTCATACAGAAGATTTAACCTGAAAATCTGTCACTTAATGGAAACTGCTTGTTTGCTTTCCATCTTAGATGACATATTATAAAATTGTAATGAAAACAGGTTTCAGATCTAAATCATATCTATCTTCAGCTGTTTAAATTTCCTAGACTGAACGAGAAACTCAGCTGTGCTGGTCTTACACCTCCCGAGGATGGAGGCTGGGGAAAGGTGCAGAGATGCTGCGGAGCTATCTGCCCCCGCACAGGCCTGGGGTCCTCTGACAGCCCGGGACTGTATACCACCCTGGGAGTCACGCCAGGGCATTGCTGGCACAAACCCCTACCTGCGCAAAATCCAAGAGTGCTGTGAAGGAAAGCGGGGAGGTGAAGAGGGAGTGGGCTTCTTGCATGTGAAAGAAGGCCCTTTTTTGAAGGGCCGGTGTGTGAATGCTCACGCTTGCTTCCTATGTTATTACTGCCCTAGCACAGTTTCCCTCCGACGTCTCTGACTGAATGCCTGGGCTAAGCATCTCACAGACACCAGTGCTACAGCTCAAGCCTTCTTTAATGAATATCTACTGTGCATGAAGATTTATAGCTGTGTAGTTTTTGGTACAAAACGCTGTTTCCGAACTCCGCTTATAATAAACTTAGTTTACTGCAATTGCATGGTCTGATTGCAGACTTATCTCTTCAAATTCTGTGTCATCTGTGGCTCTCTTATTACCCTTCATGGCCCTTTTCCTACAATTTTATATGGCACTTTAAACTTTTCTCATGATTCATCTGTGGCTATGGCATCCCTCCATAAAGACACCCACATTTCTCAACTTACTTATTTGTTGAGTGCTTTAGATCTAAACCATACCACACAGTTGTTTCTCCCAGTCCTTACAAAATCTGTATTTCATGAGTGCAATTATTTTTAGGAACATTCTCAGATTCAGGGTGGATATTGCGAAATAAGCTAGTCAGATGGCCTAGCTATCTCCTAGAGTTAGAAAAAAGAATATTGCTCCAGAAAGGAGCCCAGAAAGTCAAAGGCAGGTATAGAGACACTCATAAAAATGGGAATGGTTGTGTCTGTTTAAATATAATTAGTGAAAGTGAATGGAGAGATTGCAACATGATACCTTCATTAAAAGTTGGTTTAGAGAGCAGCTAGAAGAAGTTGTTTTTAGTGTAGAGTAGATTTTTTTTTTTGTGGATCCTAAAAAAAGCCAGGCTGTAAGTTACATCTTTTTGTCACCATCTACAGGTGTGTTATATACTAACACTTTCCATTTTTTTTTTTTTTCAAAAACAGACAGCAGAATCGAAGAATGTGAACTGACAGTGAAGGCTGAAAAATGGGCTTGGGCCAAGGAGGCTTCATAAATCAGTTCAGTCCAGCATGTCCTTAATCTCTCACACTTAAATCCTTTGTGTTCACCTGCAAAATAAAGCTTCTTTTTTTATGACGATCTCAAGGGAACCTGTGTCTGACCCTCATCCCTCCAAGGACTGCTATACGGGGCTTCTCCAGAAAATGGGCTGATAGAAAAAAACAGAGCAATGATACCTTTATTTTCCCCTCAGGATTCCTAGTTTGAGGAGCACAAAAGAAAACAAACAAGACATAAAACAAAACTAATGAAACAGGTTTATTGCCTTGTCTTCTGGGACAAATCTAGCTCCTGTTGCTGAGAGGTATCCTCCACCTGAGGCCAGAACCGTGGTTGCTGTGCTGGGTTCACAATGCTTTTGGAGACCTGCACAGAGGGATGTTTTGTGCACCGCAGTGCTCAGGTTCCCGGGGTGCTGATTTGGTGAGGAAGAGGAAAAGGATCTGAAGTAGACACCGAGAGGGAGAAAATGGCAGCAGATTCCTTACCCCTCCTCTGCTGGGATAACACACATCCCTTTGTGCCGGTTGAACGTCTGGAGCGGGAGGGTGAACACGACCGAATGAATGTTGGCAATGATCAGTGGGCAATGAAAGAGTAAACCCTGTAACTGAAAAGCATAAAGGAATGCAATCATTTCCACCTCTTAAAAGCAGGTCTGTAAAATGCTTTTATGCTCACTTCCCTTTCTCCTGAAACTATGACTTTTGCAGCATTCTCTATTTACTTTTGAGGTGTAGGGCAAGACTAACAGGGTTGTAGAAAAGTACAAATCACAAAGACACAATAAGAGTCTGGAGACTCAGCGGTAACACCTGGTAGTGCTTCCCGAATGCTCTAGTTAATATTTACCTGTGGTATAGGAACTATTTAAATAATTGTCAATGCCTTGGTCACAATTTTTGCTTTCGGTAGCAGAGCCCGGTGTATATGACGTGGTTTGAGAGGTTTTCTGAAGACACAGGAATAACTTTTGTATCGAGGTCAAACTCTTAGGAAAGCTTCTTCTGCAGTGCTTGTTTTTGTCTCAGCTTGCTGAAAATGGCGGGTGTAAGCGGCTGCATGAAGTACTCCATGTTCATCTTCAACTTCTTCTTTTGGGTAAGTTGGTGTTTAAATTGTTATTAGTGATGCACGAAATGTGTTCAACGTTATCTGAACATTGTAGTTGAAGGAATTGTAAAGAAAATAGAGCGTAAGTGGAACCCAAGTACGATTCTAAATCAGGGAGGGGAGAATATGTTTAACTTTTGCCCTTCCCTTTGTCTTTTTCCTTCAAAATCGCTTTCCCTCTGCATTGAAAAGTAGACCAGCTATGAGTCTGTCTCCCTGCCCCTATCGTGCCCCTCATGTCAAGGGACATCACTCATTTCAGTCAGAAGATAACAGACCCTTCACTTACAATGCATCGTTCCCTTGCTTTTATTGTTTGCTGCTTGCATCCAAATGGCGTAATCCTGAAAATGTAGTTGCAACAGAAGATACGGAAAATTCACTTGTGTTTTTAGCCTCCTAATTGATAAATGGTTTCATATCCTTCTTTGTGGTTCTTTGCTTTATGTTCAGCGTCATAATTAGTTTCTGATGCTGGGCAGTAAATGTTTGTAAAATGGTATGGGCTGGCAGTACTGCAAATAGCTGTATCAAGGAAGATACAGCACAGGGCAGCAGGCAGGTTTCTGGGTGTCATTTGAACCGTATTTGTCTATTTGTCACATCTCAGCTGGTTTGCAAGAATTTCAGGTCCTGAAAAGTCTGGAAAGGTTTGAGTTAAAGAGCATTTCTCTCACGGTTCAACCTCACTGTCAACTTTCCTGACAAAGATTTGTCAGGTTCACCAGAGGTTCACTGAAACCAGAGCAGAACTACTAGCCACATTATGGGCTTTGCCTCAAGGGATTTTTTTCAAGTGAAAAGGTGATACCATTCAAAAGGGACCACAAACAGTAGCCGTGGAAAATTTGTGGCTAGCCAAAATGAGACCAATTAGCGAAATTCTTTGATCGCTTGTGGACCTCACACAAGCTGGAAAAAACACAGGACGCGATCCTGGGGGGAGTTCTGAAAGGTCAGGAAACAAGCAGGCGTGGAACAAACGTCCCAAACCTATCTTTATGCCAAAGGTAGGAAAATCCGTACTCTAGTCTGGGGAAGAATATGCTGAGAGCATATTCTGAGAGGATTTGCTGTGCATGTGACTGCCTGGATGGGACAGAGGAGGACAGAAATGCAGCTATAGTTACTTATTTTGAAGGAAGGGGTTTAGCGCTACTAAGACAGCGAAGAACAGACATGGTGCAAACAGGCGTATGGGCTGACGGAGCACAATGAAGCTGAATTCTTTGATTCACATTCCTGCCTCTGATTCCTGGAAATTATTAAATTGCTGTAGTAAAGTGCAGGGAACAGTGATGTCGTTACAGCCGCTGGTCCCACAGTTGCTCTGTCAGGTGCACAAGGCAATTGGCAAGTGGAAAATCGAACTGATAGTGGGAAATGAAGGTGACTTTAACCTTAACTCGATAAGAGCAATGGCTGCATATCTACGTGGCGTCCTTTCTTTTTAAGCCCTTTGCAATCTCTCTGGGAGTGTCCCGTCTTAGGGGACTCAGGAATGGGCTTTCCAGCCTCCTGATGCCTTTTTCTAAGCAGCTCTTACAGCATAGCACTAAGTGGGTGGGCCCTGGAACAGCCTAAACTAGCTCTGCAAAGTGGCTCTGGCTTCACTACATGACGTGTGCCCCCTGGGAACCTACAGCCCCATGAGCCCCGTGCTGGGCTCCAGCGTGTCCATAGAGTTTTCCATCCTCCCAGTCTGGTGAAAGAAAGCTGAGCGCGGGCTTTTGAAGACCTGTGCTTTGGAGCTGGGTGCCTATATGGAGCTTTTAATAGTCTTTAAGTTAATCTTAAGTCAGTTTTGTGCATTAAACCTGACACGTAGGTCAGATT